GAGGGTGCTTGGGGAAGGCCTCATGGAGGAGATGATAGCTGAGCCAAGACTGGAAGGAGATGAGGGGGTCAAGCAGTTATCTAGGGAAAGAGATTTCCAGTAGAGAGAATGGCATGTGCAAAGGTCCTGAGGCAGGGCTGAGCCTGGTGTGTTTGAGAAGCATCAAGGAGGCCAGTGTGGCTGGAGCAGAGTATGCAAGGGGGAGAGCGTGGGAGGTGAATGTAGAGTGGGGCCAGATGGTGTAGGGCCTTGTGGGTCCGATGAGGACTTTGCTTTAACTCTGAATGAGACCAGAGCCAGGGGTGGACTCTGAGCAGAGGAGGGACAGGATCTAACTTAGATGTGAACAGGTTCCCTCTGCCTGCCGTGTAAGAACAGATTAATACTCGAGTTCTGTGAGCGCTGGGATTATATCTTTGCTCCCTCCATCTCCTCAGCTTCTAGAACAGGAGTCTGCAAACTACAGCCCACGGGCCAAATTGTCCTCCAACCTCATGTTTGTGTAAATAAAGTTTTATTGAAACACAACCACACCCATTCATTTACATATTGTCTATGGCTGCTGACCCGCTACAGCGGCCAGTGAAGTAGTCACAGCAGAGACCATCAGGCCCTCAAAGCTGGAAATCTTTACTCTCTGGCCTCTTAGTGAAAAAGTTTGCTGTCCCCTGGTCTAGAACAAGGCCTGGCGCGTAGTGGGCACTCAATCAACATTTGTTGTTGCAGAACTGGGCCTGTCACTCATCCATCACCCACACGAGGCTGCCAGCTTGCTCTTGTCTCAGAGCCAGCTCCGGCTCCGTGTCACATGCAGGAAAACAACAGCCCAGTGACCAAAAATAAAATACTGGAACCATTCAAGTCTTTGCCACAGAGAAAAGGCTCAGGCAGGATTACAGTTTCCACAGGGAAACTTAGCGTGCTCCTTGTCCCTCTCTTCTCCTCGATTAAGACTCGGGCCCCGTGAGCCCCCACCAGGCACAGAAGCTGCTCCTCCAAAGTTTTTTCTCACCCCTCATAATCCCCCCAAACTCTCTTCCACAGAACAGCCCGCTCCCTGGCTGTCCTGTCCCCTCCTCACTCAGCTCCGACGTTTTATTTTTGTACATGAACTTGGCTCCCTGCTGGCTTTTTTCCCACACCTGCGCTGCCCATTACTCAGATTCTGCATAACAAGGTGGTTATGAGTTCAGAATAACAAGTCTGTACCAGCTGGCAGGAATCCCGCTCTTCCTCTGGGAACTCAGATTGCTCCCACATTCCCCTTTCCCTTTCCCCCCAACACACCTCCATCCCGATATTCCATCCACCCCTGTTTTCCGAGTTCCCTCTCCAGTGCGGCTTATGCTGCACCCTCGGGACCCACAGAGGAATCAGGCCCTGCCTCTGACAGCCAGGGACTCACAATTTAATGGAGACAATCCCAGTGCCTGTGGTGAAGAGATGGGTGCACGGTGGGGATGACTTGACCGTCGAGAGAATGAGTTTGGGGCTTTATCCTGAGGACCCTGTCTGGCAGACTGGGATGGAGGACAGACAGAGGGCTCTGAGGCAGCAGAGTGCCTCCTTCTGGTTTCGTGGGTCTCAGCCGCTCTCTGATGGTTTCATATAGTGATCCACAGCCCAACATCTGGATCCAGGCTGCCTGGGTTCAAATCCGGGCTCTGGTGCTTTCTAGCTGTGCAACCTTGGGCAGCTTTCCCTCAATGTCCTACTCTGTAAAATGGGTATGACGTTACTATCACTTGGAGTAATTGGGAGGATTATAGGACTTAACACATATAAAGGGCTTAGAACTATGCCTGGCACATAGTGAGCACTCAATAAATATCAGCAACTACTAAAGTGCTTAGCACAGGTGTCCAGCTCATAGAAGGCCCTCTACAAGAGGAACCTCAAGATTATCATTCAGTGATGTCATCAATTACTCCAGAGATTCAGCAGAATTAGTGGTGTCTCCAGTTTAGACTCTTGATGGGAATGGTGACATCACTGGTTGCCAGGTAGATTTAACCCTGGATGGGGTTGATGACATCACCAGTTACCAGGCTGAATATGGTTAGAACGTGGTTGCCAGATCCTTCTTTCCTGTTTGAATTTCTGCTGTGTCCCAGTCCACATTCTTCCCTCATGCCTTGAGCACATGGGATTTTTTTTTTAAATTTATTTTTCCCCCAAAGCCCCAGTAGATAGTTGCATGTCATAGTTGCACATCCTTCTAGTTGCTGTATGTGGGACGCGGCATCAGCATGGCCGGAGAAGCAGTGCATCAGTGCATGCCCGGGATCCGAACCCGGGCCGCCAGCAGCAGAGCGCGCGCACTTAACCGCTAAGCCATGGGGCCGGCCCAGCACATGGGATTTCGATCTGCCTGAGACTCATTTTTCTATCAGTCAAATGAGGATAATAAAAGCATCAATCTCATAGGATGATTGGGAGAATCCAATGAGTTAATACACGCAAAGAGCACAATGTCCAGCACGCAGTCGACACTCAATAAACGGCACCTCCTGTTATCCTCAGGCTTCCGGGGAGGATGTGCAGGTCAGAGTAACAGGGCCCTCAGCTCTGTCTTGGTTAAAAGCACAGACTCAGAAGTCTGACTTACTGCAGTCTGAGCCCGGACCTGCCACTGCGAGCAGCCGGTTGACCCCGGGCATGTTGCTGGCATAATGACAGTGCCAACCTCATCAGGCTGGCATGAGGATGCACTGAGATAATGACAGTCACGTTCCCAGCCCACAATCAGGGCTCAGACATGTGAGCTGTATTATCACTGTGGATGCCCTCGGAAAGGTCCTCTCCTCTCTGGAACTCGGTTTCCCTATCTGCAAAGAAGTGGGCAGTGGCTGTGGCAATCTCAAAGCTTCTGGCCCACAGGGACTCGCCTTTGCCATTGCCGAGCAAATGCGTTGGGAGCTGGATGCTCGCAACCGTGTCGGCCCTCAACCCAACTCCAGCTCTCTCCCCCTGTCCCTTTGTTCCCCATCTCTTATCCCTCAACCTTCTCCTTTCCCTTTCTCCAGCTTCTTTCCCTTGTTCTAGACTTTCTCTATCTTGGTTTTCTCCTGCTAGCCAAAGGCTGTTTATAGGGCAATAAACAGCAACAGTAATAATAATCATTATTTGTTTGTTTAGCATTTTCCCTACGTCAGGACCACACCAAGCTCTTTGCAGGCATTAACTCATTTAACTCACACAGTACACGGACTTGTGCCTATTGATTCAACAAACACTTATTGAGCTCCTACTGTGTGCCAGGTCCTGAGGATCCAGCACCAAACAAAACAGATTGTTTCCATCATGGGACTTACATTCAAGTGGGGAGACAGTTGACAAACAGATAAGCAAATGAATAAACACTACCGGTGAGATGAGGAAAAAGAAAGCAGGGTCAAAAGAAGAGAGAGTGTTGAGGGGAACTGTTTTATACAGAATGACCAGGAAGGGCCTCCTGGAGAAGGTGACGTTGGAGCAGATCCAAGGATGTGAGAGGGCGGCCGCCATGCAAAATCTGGGGGAAGCCTAGCGGTTAAGTGCATGCACTCTGCTGCTGGCGGCCCGGGGTTCGGATCCCGGGCGC